AGTAGTAGAGAGAGAGAGAGAGGGAGAGAGGGAGGAAGACAGAAAGGGAGGGAGAAAAAAAAGGAAAGGAAAGATTCATCAGTTTAATTTCTACATTGAAATTGAGAACGAAAGTTAAACGATTAAGAATGTTACCATGAAGCAGTTGCAAATTATAATTCTCGAAAAAAAATCTCAAATTCTCAAAGAAATATCCAAAAAAAAATCCACAAATAAAAAGAATAGAAAAAAGTTGTCGAAATTCACAGGAAAAAATCGATAATGAAAAAAACAAACAAAAAAAAACATTAAAATAATAAAACGAAAAAACAAAAAGAAGAAAAAGGAAAAGAGTATGAAGCAAATCATATAATACTAAAAATCCTCTCCAACGTTAATTTACCATAAGCTGATTATTAGTATGAAATTAAACCGATTCAAAAAAAAGATCAAACATTGATTAAAGCTTACGATAATCATAGATTACTGCATGATAATAATATTTTCCATTAATTTAATACAGTGATAACAATGATGAATGTCAATTTGTGTTATTTTGTTGCCATAGTTTAGCTGATAAAAATAATAACATATGGTTGATAATTGAAAATATATTATTCCTGCCTATTCATTCCAAGAGCAAAATAAACCAAGGAGAAAAAAAAAGCCTGTAAAGTATTTTGAAACTTACTGATTGCAAATATTTCAATAATTGATATAAACAAAAGTTTTCGTTTCTTTTTTCTTTAACAATCTATTTTACTTTTATAATAGCAATGAATATTATCTAATTTTCTCAATTCTTTTTTCCTCATTTTTGATAAAACAATAAATTTTATTTTTGTCAAGATAAAGAGGTTGATAAACTTAAACTTTGAGGAAGAACGAAAAGAAAAAAAAAAAACAAGGAAGAGAAGAATAATTATATCACCCTCTTCTTTTCGCTAAATCATTTCGGGCAATAAATTTTCAGCGGTATATGTTTTCAGCGGTATATAGTTAGTTTAGTTAGTTAGTATGTAGTGATACATAATAATAATAATAATGATAATGATTACGACGATGACAATGATAATGATAATGATGATGATGATGATGATGGTGTAAATTTCATGTAATTCAAACTTGCTCTCTTCATTTGAACATTGATACTAACTACTCATCATCGTAGTACTAAACTTGTACTTCACAGTTGTTAGCTTAAGCTATAAGTTTACTGCATCATTCATTTCAGCATTATAAGAATGATGCATACCTTAGAAGCACATTTCGATTCAAATAATACTAAATGTTATCAGTAAAACTCATCCTTTCATTCTTCATTTTTAACAGAATAATATCATAAAGAAATGATAAAAGTAAATAATCACAATATCATTTTATACTTTCATTATTTTTTCGTTTTTTGCTTACTTTATCTAATTCTATTTAATATTCATCAAAAAAAAAAGAAGCAGTTTTTATGAACTTTATCAATGCTATTGCTATTTATTAATGGGAAAAAAAAACTATTTAAAAATATATGAAAGTGAAGAATGAAGTGCAAAGTACGAAAAACCAGTCCAATTTTTTTATTATCATCATAATAACCATTCCTCTATTTCTACCTCTATCTTTTTATCTTTACCTCATTTGTCCTTCCCTCTTTCTCTCTCTTTTGAATTTTAATTTTCATTCGTTCAGGAAGAAATTGTATGAAGAAAATGAAAGAAGGAAAGAAAATTGTAAACAAACTCTGTTAACAAACTGTTAACAGAGTCGTAAACGTCTGTTATCAACCAAATGGATTGGTTGATAAATAATGAATCAAACGTTCCCAATGATAATTTTTATCACTATATATCTTACTAAATATAAATTTCACAAAATGACAATATATCCATAGGGCAAATATAATTGTTACAGTCTTTTATGCCAAATAGTCCTCAAATGAACGGTCAAACAAAGTGTATCCATAGATAAGATTTTACTCCTTAACCTTGAAGAAAAACTATCCTAGGAGGAGAATAACTTTAACTTCAAACCAACACAGATGGAGCTCATCTAGTCTTTGTACGGCCATCAATCAAACAGAAGGACACTCTAATTAAATCTATACCCTCAGGACTTCTCTATCACCATCCTAACTTGCTAGGCCCTAAAGGGATAATCATTAGGAGTTAAGAATGAAGCCAATTCATCGCATCTGTGACTTTAAAAAAAAAAAAAAAAAGAAAAACATCGATTACACAGGCTGGGTGGGATATACCCTCGCTTTTTAGTAAGAGTTTGGAGTTTAAATTAAATTCGAAATCGAAACCCTCCTCTTATCTCTTAATCATAACTGTTAAAATTTATATATCCACATAGGAAGAGAATAAAAAGCATTGTTACCGTACAGATAATCATGCTACATTCGTTCTATCTTGTTATAGACAATGACGGTTAATTATAAATGATAAGTGATCAGTGATCGATGATTAATGATCGGTGATCAACGGTCTACAAATGATGAAAATGACCGATGAGAAGTGTGGTTTCTTCTAAACAATCCCAAAATCCAATAATTCTTCTCAACTACTACATTTACAACAATCATGCATATTATGATTTGTGAATGTAGAGATGGATTCAAATAAATAACTTCTCCAATTAACTAATCATTTTTTTCTTTAAAATTAAACATGAAAAAGTAAAAACTATGAATTAAAATTTATGAAATATTAAAGTAATATTAATTTAAACCTAATTCAAAGAGGAAAAAAAAACAAAAAGAAAACTTCAAAATGAAAAATTACCGTAAAAGCATGCGAAGCAGAACGTTTACCAAGACGTATCGATGGATATTTGTATAATTCAAGTTTTTGCAACGCTTTCATATCATCCTCATATGATTCGGGTAAATGCAAATAATGTCGCCAATTGGATGAATCAAAACCCCAATGGCAAATACGATGAATTTGTTGAATGGAATGTGAATGTGAGACAAATTTTTCACCAGTAAAAAGTAATTTACATTGGGTACATTCAATTTGTTCATCACTATCTAACATTGGTATTAATATACCAGTACAACCATCAAAGCAATCATGCATAACTGGTATTGTATCCATTCCAATATTTGTTGTTAAGCGATAACCATTACATTGTGGTAATAATTTAGCAACTAATCGTTCCGCATCACTTTTTGTTATTAAACCACAACTATCAGCTGTCATTGGCATAACACCAGCTAATTTTAATGTATCCAATTGTTGTTGACTAGCAACTGATATATGAATATTTAAATTAACGAATAATTCATTAATATCATTAATTGCAACACCATGTAATACAACGCTTATTATTTGTGGGAAGCATAAACGGCATTCACCACCAATAACAAAGCAATAAATTAGATGACCATTTAAACGGGTACTTTTAAGTGATGATGAAATATGATCAGATGGTAGTAATAATGGACTTGGTTGAATTGGTAATACACCACGAAAACGTGATGATAATTCATCAAGTAGAATATCATCCGTTATTGATGGTAATTGTGTAACGGTATTCATCGATATATTATTATTACTAGTATTATTATTATTATTACTATTATTATTATTATTATCTGTCGATATCGTTGTTGATAATGTTTTCGCTGCTGCTACTCTTGTTGTTGTTGTTGTTGTAGCTTCAGATACAGCTGATGTTGATGGTGATGTTGAAATTGTTCCTGATGTTATTAAATCCGACAAACTATTACTATTACCGGATGATATGCCGATTTTTCCATCCGGTTCACGCTTTCTTTCTTCATTATCACCATCAGCTCCCGGTCCGGTTGTTGTTGGCGTTGTTGTTGTTGTTACTGCTGCTACTGTTGTTGTTGTTGTTGCTGGTGCTGTTGTTGTTGTTGTTGTTGTTGTTGTTGTTGTTGTTGTTGTTGTTGTTGTTGTTGTTGTTGTTGTTGTTGTTGTTGTTGTTGTTGATGCTGCTGCTGCTGATACCTCAATGGTTCCACCAATTTTGATTGCTGAAGATGATGACAACGACGATGACAATGGCACGGCTGCAAGCGCCATACGACAACGGTTATCCACCGAGAGACACACACACAACACTGATCCCGTTCACTGACATACACTGACAGACATGGACATACATTGACATACACTGATGCTCACATACACCACCCTTACTTATGTATACTCATTCCTTCTTATGTCTAATTATCTTCGTTTATACAAATATTATGCAAAAATATCATAGAAATTGAATAGAAGAAGAGAAATAGAAGGTTGAAATGACATTAAATGTCATTTTCTCTGCAAACGTATACATCTGTATTATTCATCCATTTTTCTCCCTCCCTCCTTTTCTTCTTCTTTCATTTGCACCTTTTCTCTATTCTTCTTTTTTACCAAACACTGCAATGTGTATATATATGTATGTTTAAATTGTCTATACATGTTCCGATGTCTGTCCGTTTATTGTGTCTATCACACGTTTACCATAGACTGAGAAAGACAGGAAAAGAATATAGAGAAAGGACGACTAGACGGCGATCTGTCTGCGTGTAACGAATATCTGGCAACAGAATATGTCCGCGTGCTTGCGTGCTTGTCTGTATGTGTCTCATACACACAGACACATACAGATATACACACATATTCATAGACAGACAGGCAAACAGACACATGTTTGTAGACAGACAGGCAGACAGACACATATTTACAGACTAGACAGACACATATTCATAGATGGACACGCATATATGAAGGGATGCACAAAATAGTTGGGTATTTCTCTCTGCACGTTGTATACTTTCATTATTACCAAATGGGATCCGCGGAAAGGCAGGGGATAATATTGGGAGAATGGGAGACTTTCTCTTGCACTCTTTTTCATCCTGTTCATGTTAAGATGTATGATAGATCAGTTTGAACACACAACACACAACACACACACACACGCACACACACACACACACACACACACACATACACAGATACACATACACACACACAAATATCATTGAAGTTCGAAATTTTTTTTAAAAGAAAAAGGAATTTCTCAACTTTTTATAATTAAATGAATGATAATTTAGAATGTAAAAGAGTGATAGAAATGATTATTTCTTGTCACACTGATAAGAATGATAATTTGATAATTCAAATGTATCAAAGAAAGTGGAAAGATGAAAATTGGTATTATTATTAATAAAGAATTGGTAAAGGAAGGAAACCTGTCTGAAACTAAACTAGTCAAATATATTGATTTTATTGCCCTAAAAAGGATAAAAAAAAAAAAAGGATGAATTCAGCAAGGTACTAACCGGTGCCATTTAATTATGAGCAAAAAAAAAAAAAAAAAACTTTTTTTTTGTTGCTTCCTCTCTCTCTGTTCCCCTTTCTCTCTCCCTCTCTCTCTCTTCCTCCTTGTTCCTTTAATTCCAATCAAAAAAACAAAAAAAAAGGGAAAAAATGAGAGGGAGTGCGAATGTTGCACACATCGAAGAACTTCCTTTTTTTTTTTTCATCCCTATACAGCAGATGCTCCACTTTTTTTTTTTTCCCTCTTCCTCTTTCTCTCTCTCTCTCCCTCTTTCCTTTTTTTATAGTAGTGACGATAGTACAAATAGTTGTAATGATGATAGTGATTGTATCTAATGGTATTGATAAAGATGATAGTAATGATAATGATGATAATGGTGATGTTTAGTAATGGTAGTGATATAAACTTGATCAATACGATTGGTAATTTTCCGAATGGAAATGGGTAAAACGGCAAAATGAGTAATTTAATTGATGAAAAATATGTCATCGGTCATTTCATTGGTCATTTCATTGGTCAACCCTATATCTCTTAATTATCGTTCAAATTCAAATAAGATAGGAAAATATATATATGTAACGGAGAAATTTGAAACGAACAACAGCAGTAGCAGCAGCAGCAGCAGCAGCAGCAGCAGCAGCAGCAGCAGCAGCAGCAGCAGCAGCAGCAG